AACTTTGTTACCAATTTGAGCTCAAGAATGGGCATATAAATTTGTTGGATTCGTGTGTTTCTGATCGTCATGACCTTTATATATAGACATATGGTTCTTGTAACTTGTAGGTTAAAAGTCTTATCTTTACTTGAATGGTGATTGTTGCCTATCTAATGATTATATCGGTAGACTGGTTTTGCGAACTCAATTATTTAGTAATGGGCTTAGTCGCTGATGTATCCAAAAGAACAGGAAAGGAAAGAAGTGGTTTCATGCCTAAATATTTGTACTCACTAAGAACATGATTACCGTGTGATTGTTGAACTAAATTAGCTTTCAGTGATACACCATTTTGACTTATATTCATCCTAGGCTTTTTTTTTTGGTGCAGAAATGTAGCAATAATGAAATCAAAGGATACTAGATATGATGGAGAGAAATTGCCATGTTGGCCATTGGCAGATCTGTCTTCATTCGGACGACTGGATCCTGAGCAGGGGCGGACCAATTAAGGGTCCAATGGGGGTGTTTTTAACATTGAAAAAAGCCCATTTTTAACCCAAGCCCAACAAAAATCTTTTAACAAAAAAATGGCCCATTCCCTTCCCCCCAATTTTCAAACCCTGCGAAGACGGTGGGAGGGATTCGAAATTCATTCCCCATATTTTAAAAGAGGAAGAAGAAGAACGGATTGAAGATTTGAAGGAGCAAAATTCGGTAATCAATCTCTTTCTTATTCTTATTATTTATGTTTTGATAGTTATTTATGCAAATTGCAAATTTCAAGATTGGATATGGTGGTTGGATTCAAACTTGTTTGTCTTCTTTGGAGACATCAATTGACTTTAAGTTCTCAACTACAATGAAAATGGGCTTTGGGTGTCTGTATGAAATGGGTTCAAATTTGAGGAATGTGGGCAGTCACGGCTGTGGTTTGAGTTTACGCGCAGAGGAAGGAGAATTGGAAAGATTGAAAGTAAAGGAAGAGGATTGAAGATTTGAAGGAGCAAAATTCGGTAATCAATCTCTTTCTTATTCTTATTATTTATGTTTTGATAGTTATTTATGCAAATTGCAAATTTCAAGATTGGATATGGTGGTTGGATTCAAACTTTTTTGTCTTCTTTGGAGACATCAATTGACTTTAAGTTCTCAACTACAATGAAAATGGGCTTTGGGTGTCTGTATGAAATGGGTTCAAATTTGAGGAATGTGGGCACTCACGGCTGTGGTTTGAGTTTACGCACAGAGGAAGGAGATTTGGAAAGATTGAAAGTAAAGGAAGATCTGGTTATTAATGATGCCATTGAAGGATATTAGAATGGGTTATACACATTGGGTGTTTAATATTTTCTTTAGTTTAGCAGCTGAATGCGTATTTAGCATGTGATTGGTTATTGCTTCTGAAAAATTGTTAATAGATTATCGTTGAATGAATTGATTAACTTTGTGAAATAATGGACCGATTTTAAGTAAAAATGTAGCATATTTGTAATAAAAATTCCAAGAAAACCACTCACTGTTTCTTGAGATAGAAAGCTCCAGAAAATGGAATCTAAAAATTGGGAGCTTTAGATATCCTCCCTACCCAATTCTTGAGGACCAAAATTATATACAGTGACCCCATTAATTGGATTATTCCTCTTTAGCAAAGACTACCTCAAATTGAATTTCGTGTGTTTACTAGTCGATTTTAAATAGCGTGTATACTTAAAAAATATACTTACATTTACAAATGACTACTCTATCGAAAGACTCCGATCCTTAATGTATTGTTTGCAACTAAGACTAAGAATATAGTTGATCATCTTTGAACCAACAATCAAATACCATCTAGTCCCAAGTGAATCATATATTCTGTAGTCTCTTCTTATTTAGCCATTGTTTGGTGTATTTATACAAGCTTTGTTTGATTTGTAGGAAGATATGTTGAGATATTTTAAACGAATTTCTCAAATTTCTATTGAAGAATATGTTGAGGCAAAGAAACGACGCATTGAAAAAATTTCTATTAAAGAAAATGTCGAGGCAAAGGAAGCAAGTGTTGAGGGTGCTACTGCTGGAGAAAATGATGAAGCAAATGAAGTAAGTACTAATGAAACTAATTTTCAAGAAAATGATGAGGTAAAGAAAGCAAGTATTGAGCATATTGATATTGCATAACATCCCATGGATCCCGGATTAAGAACTCCAATAATGGATTACAATGTTAATCTCCAAGATCAAATAAGAAGAGCATACTTACAGAGATGTCCATGTCAGCCTCGGAATCATGTGTTTCCACGTAAAAAATCAAGGCAATTCATTCCTGCTTGGTTCAATGAATATGGTGATTGGTTAGAATATAGTATAAATAAAAATGCTACATTTTGCTTATATTGTTATCTTTTCGGATCAAACAATAGGGAACAAGGAGGCGGTGATGCTTTTGTGAAAGAAGGGTTTCATAATTTTAAAAAGAAGGATAGAATTGGAGTTCATGTTGGAGACGTCCATAGTGCACACAATCAAGCCCGAAGCAACTGTGAAGCCTTGATGAATCAAGAGTAACATATTGAGACAATTTTCTTCAAGCAATAAACACAAACACGGAGTGAGTAACGAATTCGTTTGAATGCATCAATTGATTGTGTTCGACTTCTTTTATGTCAAGGACAATCTTTTCGTGGTCATAATGAGTGTGAAGAGTCAAATAATCAAGGTAACTTTTTTGAAGAGTTGAAGTTTCTAGTTGATCATAGTGAAAGGATTAAAGCTGTCACTTTGAAAAATGCTCCAAAAAATCACAAACTAACATCACCAAAAATTCAAAAGGATATTGTAAGTGCTGCAATTGTTGAAGCGATTGATGTTATCATCAAAGATATTGATGATACATTCTTTTCAATTTTAATTGATGAATCTCAAGATATCTCAGTGAAGGAGCAAATGTTTATTGTTTTACGTTATGTGGATAAGACGGGACATGTGGTTGAACGTTCTATTGGGATGGAACATGTTTCCAGTACTACAGCTCTATCACTTAAAGCGGCTATAGATAAATTATTTTCAAGATATGGGTTGAATATATCTAGATTGTGAGGTCAAGGTTATGATGGGGCAAGTAATATACAAGGTGAGTTCAGGGTCTTAAAACACTTATTTTGAAGGAGAATCCAAGTGCCTTTTATGTTCATTATTTTGCTCATCAACTTCAATTAACTCTTGTAGCCATAGTAAAGAAGGACAAGAAAGTCCATTTACTCTTTAATTTGGTTTTTAGCACGATGAATATTGTTGGAATTTCTTCTAAACGTTGTGATAGCCTTCGAAAGAAACAAGAAGCCATAATATTTGAAGCACTCATTAATTGTGAGATTTCAAGTGGATGGGGTCTTAATCAACAAAGTACTATTGTGCGTTTTGGTGATACACGTTGGCAATCGCATTATCGTACTTTGATTAGTTTGATTTTGATGTTCTCACCTATAATTGATGTCATTGAAATGATTTCGGTTGATGGATCAACACGTGAACAAAGATGTGAGGCTGATAATTTATTGGACTCAATGCAGTCATTTGAGTTTGTGTTTAATCTACATCTCATGAGAATCATCTTAGGGATTTCAAATGAACTGTCTAAGGCATTACAAAGAAAAGATCAGGATATTATAAATGCCATGAGTTTAGTGACAACATGCAAACAAAGACTCCAAGAGACGAGGGACAATGAGTGGGATTCTTTTTTGTATGAAGTCATTTCGTTTTGTCAAAAGCATAATATTGATTTTCCTGATATGGATAGTGTGTTTGTACGCCCAGGTCGCTCACGGCGTAATACTGAAGAAATGACAAATTTTCATCGCTTCCGTGTGGATTTATTTTATTCTGTCATTGATATGTAACTTCAAGAATTGAATGATCGTTTTTCTGAGGTAAGTACATAGTTACTTTTTTGTTTAGCATGTTTATGCCCCGATGATTCAGTCTCTACTTTTGATAAGGATAAATTAATTCGTCTTGTTAAGTATTATCTTAAATATTTTTTAAAAGTACAGCTCATGGCACTTGATGATCAGCTTCGAAACTATATTGTTGATATGCGCTCTAGCAAAGAGTGGAGAATTGAAGGGACTTAGCGAACTTGCACTGAAGTTGGTTGTGACCAAAAGACATAAAGTGTATCCGTTAGTTTAGATGCTTGTGACTTTAGGATTAGCTTTTCTGGTTGCTACTGTTACGGTTGAAAGAGTATTTTCTTTTATGAATATTGTGAAGAATCGACTGCGTAATCAGATTGGAGACCAATGGATGAATGGTAGCTTAGTTATGTATGTTGAAAAACATTTATTTAATGAAATTAATAACGAGACTATTATACGGCGTTTTCAAAGTATGAGAAGTCGTAAGGAACAATTGTAAAAAAAGCACTACGTTTTGAATATTATCTTTATTGTCTAGTTTGAAATTTTTTTTTACATAATTATGTCTCCCCACCCCCCCAAAACCATAATATTGGGTCCGCCCCTGATCCTGAGGCATATGTGAAGGTATTGCACTGTCTGAATTTGGTTAAAAAAATTAAATATCCTACATAGATATCAAAATTTACAGCATGGCAATGATTTGTCAAGTGCTGAGCATGGAATCATATTATTTCGGGATAAATTGATTGGTAGTTTCTATGTAAATGGAGTGACATTTGATATTATCTGGAAGATCAATGTGAAAATCTCTTGGATTTAACATGCACCTTCGGCAATTTTGTTTTAGCTCTTCTTTTGTGAGAAAATGCGCGTGATAATATTTATCCCATGACATGATGACAGCTAGAAGTGATTTGTAATGATGGAGCTCAATTTTTTTAAGACCTATATGATTTCTGCAGTAAAGCTGCTGACCATGATAGCAGGACTATCATAGTTGCCGGTTTGGATGGTGATTGGTTGAGGTAGCACTTCCTTTAATTTTGGCAGAATTTATGGTGAAAAGACGTTTCACATTTATTTTTTGTACTCAGTTTTTATCATGATGTCTTTATGCATTCCCACTTGTACAGTATGATTATTGTAGACCTGTTATTTGATAGAACTCCCCTCACTCCCACCCCACCCTGGATTAGCAGGAGGAGGTTTGGTGCAGTGCTCAGTATAATTCCGATAGCCAATTCTGTAACTAAGTTGACTGCACGATGCGAGCTATATCATGAGTGTGCTTTCTTTACTTTGAGGAAGACGAGGAGACTGAAACAGAACTTATTGCTAGCGCCAAAGTATATGCCCTTGTGCCGTAAGCGCACTGTGATTGGGCAAGTGGTCAAAGTGGCTGTGCAAGGAAGTCCTTGAATCTCAGAAGGTTGGCCCAAATTTTTAACCCTTGTAGCTGATTTCAGTAGAGAATCTGGAACTGATATTTCACATGGACATTTGAAATTCTCAATTGTGGTAATGTGTAAGCTACCCTTTGTTATCCTTGTGATTTTTATTAAGGTTGTACTTGTAGCTCAGCTGCTCAGGCACTATCATTTGGTCGAGATCTATTAGGGAATACCACTACTGTATTTATCCAAATGTTTGGGTGAAACAAATAGATATTACTGCTGATGCTTCTCCTTGCTTTCATTCACGTGCATAAATATTCATAGTACACTTTGTTCTTTGAATGGATTTTACCTGAGAGAGCTTTTCATGCTTGCTTTATCATACGGTGTAAAATCAGGTTCAATCATGTGCCAACGCTAAAAACTATGCGTAAGATTCCTCTTGTGCTCTTTCAATTCTCATTAATAATATTCACACTGTTATTAGATGCTGTTGATCTTTAATAACCTCTGAATATGAAGATGCTGTACATATTTTATACAAGTATTCTCAACTAGATATATTCTTTCCATCTTCTGCCATGTCTCATTGATTGAGACCTCATTTGTTTTCTCTATGTGGGTTTGATCAGACATTGGAACTATATTTTAGATAGTAATTTGAACAACTGTACAATTAATCATAATATAGAAAACATGAAAACTTCTTAGCTCATATTGAAGTATTTATATGATGGATGGATTTTCAACAGTTAACAACATTAAACCGGACAAACTCTCCAACATGCTTATAATTAATTACAGTTTTAGATCTGCAATTTGCATCCCCTAGGCTACATTTACTCACAAAGAATACTATATTGTCATTAGTAACAATACATATATATTAATAACTCCGTCCCCTACTACATTGGCCTTTTTATGGATGGAAAGTTTTGCCAAAGAATTTGTATCTCCTCTTCAAGGAGAGCAGCAATGTTTTTTCCACACTTGGTGCATCCAAGATCAGAGATATGAGGTTCAAGAGCCATAAAAAGAGATTTATACAGCAATGTAGCGCCTCGAAGCTGTGCAAGAAGAGAAAAGAGAAAAATCCAGTTGCAGCATGTCCGGCAAACTTAAAACTTTAAAGTAGCTTTTTTTAAATCTCTGCATACTTTTCAAAAATATTGTTTTAAGTAATTTTAGGCTTAGCCAAATATTCTTTTAATCTACCGTTAACTTGCAGATAATAATGCGGGGGAATAAAACTAATTAGGTTTTTGCTTCTATAATTTTGCAAGTGGTGGTGATTATTGCTACTTGTGGTGCACTGTTTATTAGTGTTTTACATTGTGAATTTGTGCTATTCAGGTAGAAGCAGAATTACCTTGGTGATCTTTAGAGCTTTTTGAATAACATAGTTTCCAAACTGATCTCGAGCAAGATGAGAAGGTGCGTTTTGACTGTCTAAAATTTCTTTAATAACACATAACATCCCGCTTTCAGAAAATTCTATGCATTTCTCTACAACATGACTGCCTCCTTTTATCCGGGCGAGATGTATAAACCGACCTTGGAGATAATGCAGTATTTTATCAGTAACGGATGCGTTTCTAAGAGCGAGGACATGCTGCACAACATAGTGCCTGGATAAGGGCCATCACTAAGGTAAAGTTTTCCAGACAAGCACAGTTACATGAATATCGAATTATAATTTCTGAGTTTCATAATAAAGAATTTCATTAGTACCCGTAAGGATCGTTTGACAGGTAAGCTGCCACATTTGCAATACGATCGAGAAGAGTCGTTCTTTGAGAACCACTGATGCTATTGATGCATTCATTCAAGGATATACATCCCACTTCATGGGTAGCCAGTTCTTGGAAATAATATATTGCCAGTTCATAGAGTATCTGAGATCAAATAAGCAATGTCACGTCATTTTTTAAAAGATAAAGAATGTGCAGACATAAATTTCCAAATAGTTTAGTGTATTTAGTTTGCTATTCCAAACAGGAAAAGCAGAAAGAGTAATAATTAGAATGTGGCTCAAAAGGCTTCTTCTTCGAGTGTTTATTTCATATGCTGATGTGTTGATATGTGGAACAGCACTACCCTATTTGTAATATAATTTCATGAAGTTTGTAGAAAAATACCGTGAAAGAACTGATGAAGGAAATAAAATAATTACCTCATTTGGCTGATTTCCCAGGAGGTTTAGGCACTGCTGAATGACATGCCTGGCTATATGGTGAGTCATTAATGCATAGAATCCAGTGGATAGAATTCTTGTCACCATAAAGGCCTCAGATGTCTTCTTGACCTTTTTGATTAGTCTTTGGATTGAATTGGCACTGTCAACACAAGTAGTGAAAACACCCTAAATACTTAGAAAAAATAATAGTACATAAAGATTCGAGATTCTTGAATTACCCATGTTTACAGAATGCTACATCTATAAACAATTTGCTGTTCAACGAGGCCGCCATGACGATGGAATGCAACCGTCTGTCATTGCTTTCTTCGACTAGCTTTCCAAAGACCCGATGCCCTTGTTCATCTGCCATCAGCTTGAAAATAGATTCAGGAACTTCATCATGTATTACTTGTGTCTGATTCTGAATCTGATTTCTCTCATCCAAAATTTCCTGCAGGCGATTTGAGGCAAATTGAGTTGTACCAGTCCTGTAAAGGTTGTTTCTTCTACCATGTAGTCCAACATTCTGATTCCACGAGCCACCGGAATTTGTTTGATCATAGTTCAGGTAATGTCCATTACGTAAGAAAGATGGATTTCTTTCAATTCGCTGATTTTGGGTCGTGGTCCTTGAAATTTGGTAATCATTCAATATTGATCTTCTGTTAACAGAATTTGGTGTAAATGAATCTCCAGAGAGAGAGTTGATACTCCATTGTCTGTCTGAACCTCCAGCAAAACTTACGGGACCAGACATCAAATCTTGAACAAGTTGCTCTCCTGCAAAGAAATAAACAGTAAAATTCAAGCCCTTGAATCATGAATGCTCACAGAAAATTCCTCTCTCGCTCTCTCTCAGATATTTATGTATGTATAGTTTACCTCGAGCAGTAAAGCCATGATTTGCCCAGATGTTGTAATGATCTGGGACCAAGTTCGTTGATAGTCTGCCATTAGTATTATTTTCTCTTTGAATATGAGATGAAGCGATGTCGAAGCCATTGTTACTATGAGAACTACTTGCTTGAAACCTCGTATTCCCGCCCTCATGCAACCCAAAACTTCCAAAAGATACAATAATATCTTCATTATCAACATTGCCGTAGTTTGCCCTATTCTGAGGCGTTTCAGAATTTGAACTCTCCATGCAAACAATTAGAAACGAGAACAACCTAGCAATTAAACTATAATATCCCTGTAGTGATTAGCTTATCTTCCTTGTATCTCTGTATATATAGGTATTTTGTTAATAGAAGACACAAAAGGAAGTAGAAAAAGACTAGGATTGCTAAAGGAATGTCCAAATTTACTTATAACTAGATTTTCTCTGAAGGGAATGAACTACAAAACCACTGGAAGCAGAATCAGAGTGGGATTGATTCAATGTTTTTGGATGTTAGATTGAGACAAATTTATGACATATGGATGTGGCGAATTTTTTTTAGTGCTCTCGAATTATGAAACGCAATATTTTATGTCAGTATTGAATTGACGTGTATTATTTTATTTGTACTTTTGTCTCAATTAAATAGGGAGTGTTACCTATATAATACACGTGTCAAATCAGTAGTGACATAGCCATATTTCGGTATTTCTTCCTCGGCTACTGCCCCGAAATCCTGGTTGTGAGGGGATTTTCTTATTCATCTAATTTTAAATTTTACGAATATTGATACTAGATAGGATTGTACGGAAGTCTATTTACTCAATGGTCTGCCTCCTTTCACCCTTTGATCATCGTTTTATAAAAAGATTGAAAACTAGAAATTTCATGAGATGGACCCAAATTCATGAAAATTATAAATTATTGAAACAAACTTACTAGTTGTTAATATATCTTTATAAAGTCAATTACTTCAAGAGTTATTATAATTTCTCAAATTTAAGTCGGGGTTTATACATGGGAAAATTGCACACATAGTTCCTAACATTCGGGATTATTCCCCAACATTCAAAATCGAAGTTTTGAATCTCCAAGTCTCTTTCTTCATGATTGTCATTGTTTATTTCTTCGGGTCTATGTTTCTTGTTTCCACATGCTATTAAGAGATGAATAAACCATATATAAGGGTTTAAGTCACTCTTCTTAATAAAGTTCACTATTTAAGATTAAACTTCAATTCTTAATATGGTATCAGAGTTTATTAATTTTTAACGAGCGATTCGATCCGATTAAGATAAAAAAAATAAAAATGAATACACGAATTTCAAGATTGATATGTTCAAACGAGTCATCTTTTGAGAGCATGTTAATAGATAAATTTCACATCGATTAAATATTGAAATATCGATCAACATATAACGGCTTGTATTACTCATCTTAATAAAGTCGACATTTTAAGAGGGAATCTTAAATGTTAATACATGCCGCATTTGGTAGTGGAAGGAAGGTGTATGGGGATGAAGTTTGGAGAAGAAAGAGCTTTTTTATTTTTATTTTATTTTTAATTGTTCTTTCCTTTTGTTTGTTTTTACTTTTTTATTTTGCCTTTTTTAATGTGTTTTTTTTTTTTGTTTATTTAAAATTTAAGTGCAAGATTGTCTCTTTCACGTCATATGCAAAGCACGCGCCTATTTAACAAAATAAATGGGTGCAATCAAACGCAAAGCACAAAGAATGATCGATTTGAAGGTTCGAATATCAAAAGTAAAACGATACGAACGATTTACTCTACAAAGACCAACGATAAAAATGCTTTAAGTCAATTCTCCATTATAAATTATAGCTATCCAAACTTTGTGATCATCTTGGCATGGCCCGCATTTTTTTTTTTGTTTGGTGGGCAGTGCTGAACCTAGACCAGACATCACAGGGTGGGCTTTTTTGGGCCTGTGCGGCTCGATCCATCTTTGCACACAGCAAGTCAGCGTAGAGGGTTGACTGTTGAGTAATCAGTAAAAAGGATAATTTGTGGGTCATTAGCCAGAGAATCTTTTCATTCACAATAATTACTAGATCTACAGGGGATTAAAAGAAAATCTCTTCAGATCTTGTAGAGAAACTAAAGTGCAAAATGAACTTGGAAAAGCTTTTGTGTTTCCTCCAGAAGAAGGAAAATCTTGATGCTCTCTATTGACAGCAAATCATAGGCTATCCACCTTTATGTGTATTGACTAATCTGCCCCTGACAAGTTTATCAGTTAGAAAAGCAGAAATTACAATATCCATGCAGATTTATATCTGTTTTTTTCCCCTCTTTAGTGTGTTTTGACAAATTTTATTACAAGTCCAACGTGATGTATGTTTCCTTATTATTAAATTTAATTTTGTTCCTATTCTACTGATCTTTTTGGTGACTAGTATTCACTTTGTATAGAAAGGATATTATTGGCATTACAAGTGGATTACATCTGAAGCCACTGTTCTTGGATCTGGAGAATGTTTAAATATTTCTTGCCGTGTGCAAAGACTCTATAAAAATCCAGTAGCTTCTTGATGTCATCCTTATAAGCTCACGAGTCGATACAACTTCAGACCAATGCCGTCAGGCGTGATGAAGATTCTATTGGCTTTGATCTTCTTCTTATCAATATCGCGATATTCTGGTAATCATTGAGCTGTCGTTACTTGCGAAGCACATATATAGATCTATAAATATATATCACGTCCATGCTAGATTTGTAATTTTCATCAAAAGCCTCACTTGAACCCTAGATCTTTGTTTGCTCTGAATTTTAAACTGCCTCTTTTAAAAGTTTAAGTTGTCATAGCAATTAATTAGTCGAGATTGTGGCAGAATGCTGTTGTGCTGAAATATAAACTTCTCTTTGGCTGCATCGGAATGAGTGCCTGGATTTTTTTTTCTTGATCAGTCATTTGATGGAAGACTTTGATTTGCACATCATCTAACTTCGCTTTACGTTTTTTATTTTTTATTTTTTGGTTGATGTTAGAGGGACAGTTTGAGGACTGGTGCATAGCAGATGAGCAAACTCCAGATGATGAATTGCAGAAGGCTCTTGATTGGGCCTGTGGCAATGGTGCAGATTGCAGTAAGATACAGGCAAACCAACCTTGCCATATTCCAAATACGGTAAGGGATCATGCTTCTTATGCATTCAATAGCTACTATCAGAAGATGAAGCATAAAGGAGGAAGTTGCTACTTCAATTCTGCTGCAATTTTAACTGCTAAAAATCCAGGTAAGCAAACTTGTTGAACAACTTCTTCAATAAGCTCAAGCGGTTAAAAGCGAGACAAATTTATTTATTTAAGTTATTTTCAATATGCCCCTCATGTGCAGTTGGCAAGTAAACAATTTTTACAAATGGAAAGTGGAAAAACTTGAACTTTTACGCGTTGTGATTATTTATTTAAATAATGTTTAGTTTTCTTGAAATATAGTGAATCCCACGTGCTTGGTATATTTTCATGTGATAATCTGATCGTAAGAAACTTTTCATATGATTATTTTTTTCCATAATGACAGGTCATGATTCGTGCAAGTTTGAGTATCTTCCCTAATCACCAGTTCTTGAACCGTGCTGGGCTTTTGAACCGTGCCGGGCTTCTTGTCGTGTACCAAGAATGTTTTGATTTTTATGTAAAAGCATCAGCAAAGCTCTCATACTAAGTTCTCCATTGATATATCATGATGAGTATAAGCTCAGTAGAATGTTATAAGTTGTTAAATATTATTTTCCCCATTATTAAATTTTTTTCTGATAAAAACCAGGCAGCATTTCAAGCCACTTGCGCCCTAAAAGAATTCTAATTCAAAATCTTGAACGTAACTATGCAGAAATACCAATAATAGAATCATTTTATGTGATATCAGCGTTGTTGTTCAAAATTCTTAAGATGTAGTTCATTGTTAACAATGTGAAAATTTTATCTGGAAACTACGATTCTTAGCCCCGCAGAGCTAGGAATATTGTCCCGTATAGACCAAATTTAATCAAGGCTGGACTTTGATTTTTCAACCATAGATTTAATAATGGTAAAATATAAAATAATATTATAACAACACTAAAAATGATATAGTTTATAAATTACACTTGTTCCTTGCAAATTTTCATACTTTGATATGTCTACATCTTGGTTTGTTTGAATATTTTTGAAATTCATTGTCCAAACTCCAAAGAAAACAAAAAGGGTAGGAACGTTCGAAGAAAAAGAAAAGGTGAAACTTTCTCTTTTTTAAATGAATGTAAATGAGCATTTCTAGAAAAAATTACAAATTCCTTTTGTGCTTTGTTGAAATTTAGATAACTTTAAGCTTCGATTACTATCATTTTGATTGCAGCTAAGTTATATTACTCGTCGTTTATCGAATTAAAAAAATTATTTTTTCTTCTATTTTCTCTCATTTTTACGTATAATTGTCTAGCCGTTTGAAAACTTAAATTAGAAATAGAACACATTTGAATTTAGTGTTGACCATACTTCTTCACATGCATCTCATATTTATCATTTTATTAAATGTGACGTGTTTACGATTCTCATTAGTCGATAACAATAAAGATCTCTATCCCAATTCGATACTATATAAGGTTACTTTTAGAACCTTAATAAATTGTAAAAACGCAAGTATTTAGCTCCTGTTCAAGGGGGTGTTTGTTTTTTATTTGAGAATTGATTCTTCTCAAGTCAATTCTCATTTACAACGACACATTTTTCAATAAAATAATATTTTCCATCACATCAATAATTTTTTCTTCTTTTTCAACCATACATTTCCCATCATATCACTATTCAAAAATCAATTCTTCCCCCAAAAATCTCTATCAAACAAACTCTAAGCCTCTGTTTGGTATCCATTCTTTTTTTCATTCTCATTCTTCTACTAATTTTCAACCACACATTCATCAATAAAATAATATTTTTCATCACATCAATAATTTTTCCTTAATTTTCAACCACAAAAAAGGTGTGATTTGACACAAAGAATGCATTTTTTTCTAAAATAATGGTTACCAAACGGTGCCTAAATATCATTTTTTAGGAAGAATTTTGTAAAAAATGATTTTGTTTTTTTTTTTTTTTGGGAGAACATATAGTTAAAAATAAGTTTGAGAAAAATTACATTTTAAAAATGCAGTACAAACATTGACTTATTTCTTTGAATCTAAAACTTCAACAAAATAGCTAATTAATTATAGATTAAAATTCATATAAATCGGGTAATTATTATCCACCTAAGACGATCACTACCAAATATAGAATAACATGAAAACCTCCATAAATAGGTAAAAGAGGAAGATGGTAGAAATAAATGTGAAGAAGAAGGTGACAGTAGGAAAAGAAGATGACATAGAAAAAAAGTTTTGATAAAAGATATATACACGCAATTGAAGATGTAGATTCAAGCTATGGCTTTTGCTTCTCAAGCTCTTGAAGAAATGTAGATTCAAGCTATGGTTTTTTGCTTCTCAAGCTATGACAGTAGGAAAAGAAGATGACATAGAAGAAAAGTTTTGATAAAGGATATATACACGCAATTGAAGATGTAGATTCAAGCTATGACTTTTGCTTCTCAAGCTCTACCTATATTATTGCATATCATCTTCATCAAATCTTACACTTCAAAATAATAATAATAATAATAAATAAAAAGTAAAGAAAAAAGATTGGGCCTAGGCCAAAAGTTCATGTCTGCACTAAACTAAGCATGGACTGCGAGTGACTCCGCCCTTGCTAAGAATTAGTCTAGATTCAAATATCATTAATTGATATTACATAATTATTATTATTCGTAAAGTTCTTTTTAGATTATAAGTTATTCAAATTGTATTTTGAATATCAACTTATAATGTCAAAAAGACTTTGTCAAACATAGACTAAATATCATGGTTGGTAATGATTTAACAATAAATTAAACTTTAGTATCATGAAATTTAGAATCTATACTGAGGGTACCATATGGCTGAGAGATTATTATGCATGAGAGATTATTTTTAGAGATGAGTATTATTACTCAGGTGTGAACTTGTACCCCCAGTGGTCCACCACTTGCACAAAATCGCCTTCCAAACGGGCTTCTTTTGCAATTGTCAAACATTCGTTCACACTCTTTTACTATGTAGGAAAATATGGTACATGATTAATTCCACCATGCCTCCTTAAATGATGAGATCGTGGACATTCCTCCTCTCCCATTCCGTAAAAAAAGCCCTAGATACTTGACAGAAGAAAAAAGTATACAATATCAAATATGAAATGGGAAAAGTGTACTGATTAGGTTCATGAGTGGTGGAATGTAGTAGGTAGGTGAACCTTTTGCTTATATATTTTGTGGGTTCTCAGTTCTCTTCCTACTTGGGTAATAGGAGTAAATATGAGTTATCTTGGTATAGGAACTAGTACTAATAACGTTCGTGGGAGTAATTTGAAGGTAATCGATAGGAGAGTTAGGGTTGCAGAATTGAGTTTAAGGTGTTTGATATGTGGTCTAGCCATTCTTGCTGCTGTTCTTATTGGAACCGATTCTCAGGTTAAAGAGATCTTTACTATTCAAAAGAAGGCTAAATTTACAGACATGAAAGCTCTTGTGTAAGATCTCTCTCTCTCTCTCTCTCTGTATAGATTAAGCCCTGATTCCACTCTCTCTCTCGCTCTAAGTATAGATTAAGCCCTGATCCCAAAAATGGGTTGTTAATTAAATTACGATTTTGCTATTTTTGAGTGTACAGATTCTTGGTAATAGCCAATGGGTTAGCTGCTGCCTACTCAGTGATCCAAGCTTTGAGGTGTGTTTTGAGTATGATAAGAGGAAGTGTGCTCTTCAACAAGCCCTTGGCTTGGGTCATTTTCTCTGGTGATCAGGTACCAAATATCACTCTTCTACAGCTCAGTTTCTTCATTCTGTCTGTATCTGTCATGAGTCTATGACTTCATAACTCAAGCCCTATTCCAGAGTAATAAGAAGCAAACAGACAGATTCACTTAATATCCACACTTCAAGAAAACTGATTTTGTATAATAGAGACAAAAGGTGATTTCTTTCAGATATCTTCCTGTTTGGAATAGGGGATTGACATCTGGAAAATTAGATAATTTTAGTGCAAAAGTTAACAAATAATGTGAATGAAGCATATCATCCTGCATTAAATGTGTTCAATCCTTCTCTACATTTTAGGCGGCGACACAATTTAGGCAGAGTACTGAGATGGGGGAAAGATTACAGTTCAGTCCTTCTCTGTATTTACAATGAATGTCCCATTTGATGGATTAAGTGGAGACTTATCATATTATCCTTGTTCAATTATCCTTTTCATTGCGAGTCACCTAATATTATTAGAGTAGATTTGAGTATACCATATATGTATTAGGATTTTTAGGAGACTGTTTCTTTGGGTGCAAAAGAGATGTGATGTTAAGAGTAAACCGCTATAAATCTCTGTGAATATTTTTCGTTTCCTAACATCTGAAATTAACGTACTTTTGCAGATAATGGCGTACTTGATTTTGTCTGCTGTTGCAGCAGCTGCTCAATCTGCTGTGTGTATATTTTTCGTTTCCTAACATCTGAAATTAACGTACTTGTGCAGATAATGGCGTACTTGACTTTGTCCGCGGTTGCAGCAGCTGCTCAATCGTCAGTATTTTCCAAGATAGGGCAGAGTGAACTGCAGTGGATGAAGGTTTGCAACTTGTATGGGAAATTCTGTAATCAAATTGGGGAAGGCATTGCCAGTGCTGTGATTGCAAGCCTTGGTATGGTGCTTCTCTCTGCCATTTCTGCTTTCAGTCTCTTCCGTTTGTACGGAGGAAACCAAGGGAAGAGCGACGCAAGGTGGTAGACTAAGATCATACACAGGCACTCATATATGTATACACAGACACAGTACCAGTTCAATTAAGGTTCTTGCGTTGTCTTTTAAGACATAACCCGACATGTATGTGAAAGATACTACTGGTTTTGGTTGTTATATAAACCAGAGCAAGTGATTCAAAGTGATATCGGTGATCAGAAGCTTTGTGTTCAAGTCCAGCAATAATATATTATGAAAATTATATGTTACACTTTGATGAAACTCAGATTCGACTTATGCTTAAAAGTACTTGACTTAAATTATCACGAGTTGATTCCACGTATTACATACTTTCGAGGTTTTGATGTGTTGACATCCAACCTGTGACCTAATTAAATCCGTTTGTTACATGCACTTAGTTTATGCTAAATTAAGGTCGGATCTTCAAGATCAGCTCATATTTATGACCCCTGTGGTTTGAGTGGACATAATGATTGTAGATTTCTTACACACTATCAAAATATTCAATCAATTAATGACATTCAGAAGGACTTACGTCAACTTCCACCAATTCCACCAATCATATGCTATAGCTTCGTTCCCTAATCAGTTTATTAATTACTAGATGTCGATGTGTGTCAAACCTACCAACCATCAATATCAATTTTACACATTTCAGACTTTTATTGCAATTAAAATGTGGTGCAACAAATAATTACTATAGGATTTTTTATTTTTATGTATGTATGTAATTGAATATTTTCTAATGTTTTTGAATTAAATTATTAATAAGTGAAATTGTATTTATAGTTTATGTAAAATGTAAATAAGTAAAATTTTTAGCTAAAAAAAGAAATAAAAATAAAAGGCGCAAGTGCGGAGCCACGGAAGAAATTCTGATTCTATGTATATATGAAATGAATAAAAAATTTTCAAAAAAAAAAATAATAAAAAAAAACTGAAGGAAAAAAAAAAAACTTGCTCAGCAATGTACGGAGAGAGCTCCGTACATTGTGTGGTGTGCAGAGAGATCACTTCGCGCACTACGGAGTGATCTCCACACTGTGCAGAGCATCAACTCCTCAGTGTGCGGAGCACGGTGATGAGCAATCGTTTTTTTTTATATTCGAAGTAGATGGGGATTTTCTGATTCCTCTGCAGTATATCAATAACTACAACAAATTAAACTAAAAATTCATACTAAACAAAGAAAAATAAAAATTCATACTCTCACCTGAGAAATATATAGAT